GATTTAGAGTTCGTGATGCATAGGCAATCGGTCGATCCTGTCCTACTTTTCCTTGGCTAAGAATACAACCTATTGCGTAATTTGAGGCATCAGTAGTCAAAATAAAAGACTTTCAAAATCTGGGTATTGTAAAATAGGTTCGTTGGTTAGAATATTTTTGCAAGTTTCAAAAGCTTTGATAAATTCTGCATTATGTTCAATTTTTGATCCTTTCTTAAGACATTTCGTAAGTGGTTTTGTTAATTTGGCAAAATTTTCGATAAAGCGTCTATAATAACCTAAAAGACCTAGGAACGATTTGATTTCTTTGACTGTTTTTGGAATTGGGAATTGTGTTATTGCTTGTATCTTTTTGGGATTCGGTTTTACACCATCACAAGTAACTAAGTGTCCTAAATATTCAACTTCTTTACATAAAAATTCACATTTGTCTGGTTGAATTTTCAATTGTGTGTCCCTTAGTCTCCGAAATACTAATTTCAAATTTGCAATATGTTCTTCAAGACTAGTGGAAAAAATTATAATATCGTCCATATATACTAAACAAACTTTGCCTTGTAATCCTTGTAAAACATTGTCAACTACTCTCTGAAATGTACTTGGGGCATTTTTCAAACCATATGGTAAGCGGGTATACTCGTAATGTCCATGTTCTACACTAAAAGCGGTTTTTTCGATAGAGTTTGGATGCATCTCTATTTGATGAAATCCGGAAGCTAAATCTAAGGTACTGAAGTATTGACATCTACCTAACTTATATATATCGTTAATATTAGGTAATGGATATCGATCACTTATTGTTTTTTCGTTCAGCTTTCGAAAATCTGTTACTATTCTCCATTTTTGTTTCCCACTAGCATCCATCTTCTTACTAACGATCCAGATAGGTGAGCTATAAGGACTTTGACTAGGACGTATAATTCCATCGTCTAACATTTTATTTATCTGTCTTTGAACTTCCTCTTTATGAACAAAGGGATAACGATAATTTTTTGTATGTACTGGAATTTCATCAGTAGTTTTTATTTCATGTTTAACAATATTAGTGAACGTTAGCTTTTCGTTTTCATTGTAAAATATATCCCTAAACTCATGGCAAACTTTTAATAAAGTCTGTTTTTCCTCACTGTTCAAATGATCAGTCCTAATTAGTTTCGATACTTTCTGTATGCTTTCGTCACTATGTTTTAGTTCACCAATAATATCCTCAATATGAAAAATATAAAAGTTATCACTAACTTCTTTAGAATATTCAATTACGTCTAACGGATTTGAAAAATCTATCGTTATTTGTTCATCTGAATGGTTATAAATTTCTGTATAAGCAAACCATTCATTCGAAATAGTCAAGGTCTCAGGGAAATATAAGCCATTTATTTCACCTTCAGGGATTATAACGGGGCTATTGTTAATGCTCACAGGAACTTTGATAAGAGCTAACTCGTGTGCATTTATCGTTATGCTATATGGTTCAGTGTCAAGTTCACGGAAAAATATGGGAATACGCAATGACTCACTAATTAAAAGTCGATTAGTAAGGTCTATGTTGAGATTTAAACGTAGTAATTGTTTTAATCCTAATATGCCGTCAAAAAATGGATGGAAATCAAATAAAATGAAAGTGATAAAATCATCTGATTCAAATTTTGGGAATGATGGCAGATCGGCTTTAAATTGAACTTCTTTCTCTCCTACGCCTGTCTTTAATCTTGAAACTGAATGGTAAATACGTTCTGGAAAGTATTTTCTACTATTCTAGGGCGTATCATCGAATGTGAACATCCTGTGTCAATGAGTAACTTTAAGGGTGGATTTTGAATTTTGATGTAGGGTAAAGAGTTGTCAAGATCGGAATGGATTTCGATTATGTTTTGTGGGTGCCTTGGCCCTTGTAATAAAAATTTGGATCTGATTCATATTTTGTGGACGAAGAGGCAGAAGCATGTTGAGCTTCAACATTTTGAGTTTTTGAAAATGGTTTTGGATTTCTGGTTCTTTCGGGTTGTTCGGTTTCGTATCTTTCGTCGTTTTGAGTGTCATCTATTTGAATGACATATATTTATATGAACTTTTCTACTTAAATCACCAAGTAACACCTTATACATATATGCCCAAGTCATGACTTCTATAATTAAACTAAAAATATCAAAACCTGGCTGGGCGGTAACAGTTCCTACACATTTCAATAAACAAAATGAATCGTTAAAACTTTTACTTGAACTGTTACATTTTTTCTAAACCTCACATTTTTTTCCAATATTTGATCATCTTCAACGATAGTTTTATTGAGATTTTCTGAATGGAACACATTTAGATAACGTTTTTCTTTGAACCGTACTTTAAAATACTCCTTGCCACATGAATTGATATTGTTATGTATGTTCCTTGATTTATTCTACGTCTCTTAGTGTTCCAACATATTTTCATCGAAACACTTTTATTTTGGAAATTTTACACCCTGTATCTTGAGGTCGATAACCATCTTAGCCTTGTATTTCTCCGAAACGTTGTCATATATATAATCGGTTGCTGTTTTTAAACTTCTCCTGTATATACACGGCGTTTACACTCTCTAGGTCTTTATTTTTTGTGTACAGGTTACTTTAATAAAACGGTTAAATTTGTTACTGTTTAATCGACGAATAACTGTGATATAGCGATGTGATGATAGTTTAGGGCCTAATTTATATATGATATGTTTTGGTTATTAAAAATGCTCTTGCAAGATTCAGTGTTTTCTATTTCCTTCCTGCGTCGCCAAAAAAATAGAACGTTGCTGTTTCGCCTGCAAATGCATAAACAAAATAGAGGAAGGGTTCCAAGACGGAGCCTTGAAAAATGCGTTTTTTTTTTCTCTCGCATATTTGAAGACGGTATCAGGTAGGTGCCTCTGTATCTCACCTGCAATTGAAAAACTTTGCTATCCATGAGATGAAAAAAACAGGATGTCAACCCTAACACACAAGTAGATGCGTATGCAAGGCTCACCTAGTTAGCTACACAGATATCTTGTTTCCCTCAGAAGAGTCGGAAGTAGACCTAATTTCCACTTTGGAGACATTTGACACCCACGTCACAACACTAAAACACCAGTGAGAGACAATCAAGAACCCTATAGTGAACACCACTACTGAAGAAAAGTAGCTAAACCGAATAGAGCTCTGGACGGAGCTGTGAACACGTAGACATTCCGCCGCGGCGACGGTTGCCGAGAGACTGTAAAATTCAAAATTGCGCGTTAAGACGCGCGTCAAGACGAGGGAAACCACAGGATACGTTTCGGATGCTACATTAACACAAAAACTGATGCCACGACTTGACCTGTGTTTGAATGTTTATGGTGAAAAATGAAAAAATGTTCGTATTTTAGTTTGTGATACAATTTACATTCATAACCACAACATAATTGGAGTAGATTGGTCAAGTAGTTTTTGAGAATTTCTAATTGTTTATGCCAAAACACCTGTTTTCCGGCAATCACTACTATATAGTTTATTGAGCAATATAAAGAGTTAGTTCAAAGGTATTTTATAGCAAAATACACTAGTTTACCCTGCCGATATGAATCGCAAACCATTCTGGAAGATAAATGTTATTTTTATGCAAAACAGGGTGGGTTAAGTTTTTTCTTCTAACCAAATTCAACCACTTCGTATTTGTGAGTAACTCGCAAAAAAGATGATAAGCACATCCGCTTTGTTTTAAAATGTGTATAGTAACGTAGGTTTTTCGAATATCGTAGCGCATTTGTTCAATTGCTCACAAATGCGAAATGTTTCAATTTGTTTTTCGCTTAAAAATAGCATTTATCTTTAGGAATGGTTTGTGATTCCTATCGGCAAGGTATACACGTGTATTTTGCTATTAAATGCTCAATAAACAATGAAATAGTGATGGCCGGAAATCCGCTGTTTTGGGATAAGCAATTAGAAATTCTCAAAAAACTACTTAACCAATATATCTACTCCAATTTTGTTGTTATGAATTATGAATCCTACCGATTTGAAGAATTTCAAGCAGTTGCGTGAAATTATCGTCGCATTACCTACCAAGTGCCAAAACCTGCATTTGCCTGGTTTTTCGGCCATAACATTTTTGCTATTAATCGGATCTTTTTATGAGTGGTGTTATTTTGTAGGTCTTATAAATACCTAAAAATCTTATATTAAAAGTGTTTACCATCCACTTTCGATTGAATAAAAAAGACGTTTTCTCACTCTTTGTTGTCAAATAAGTTTTCAAACAAAAATTGGTGTACTCATTTCATGGGTCCCCTTTGAACAACTTGCACCCTTTAAAACCAGACTTTACAATTATTTCGGGGAAATTTGCTAATATGATTAGACTATAGGTCTAAATGTTGATGATTGGACATAAAATTAAAGCTTTCAAATTTTAAAACTGCTCGGTTTTGATGTTATATGATTTGTCATAACTTATATTCGCACTAAATGCTTCAATGGAGTTACTATTTTGAAAATAAAAAAAAATAAAAAATATTTTCATTATCAAAATAATAAAACAGAGTTATGCATCCTTTTTTAAAAATAATGTAACTACGCCCTTGAACCAGAATATCAATGCAAGTTAGTAACCTGTAAATATGTTTAAAAAGCAGGTACGGTTCACTTATTCACTCATAGATAGCAGCACCCGCTATTGATGAGTGTTGCCAGATTTTTATAGTATCAAAACCTGCTTCATAACTCCCAAGCTTTACCTGTGATATTTGTGTCAAATCAAACACCTGTGGTAGTGAACACAATTCGCAATGAAGTATTTATGGAAAATAAAAAAATACGCACAAGTTTTATAATGTCAAATCACACTACGTGAGACAAATGCGTTTCTAAAATCAGAGACCTGCTGTTCAAATAACAAATCTGGCAGCACGGAAGGTACCATCTATGAGTGAATTGTTGAGCTAAAAAGAGTTCTGCTTATTTATACCTGCTATTTTGACCATTACAGGTAACTACTAAAATTTACAGCTCATAGGTCATAGGCGTAATAATGCAGTTTATTTTCAGAAACGAGCCGTTCTAGGAGAGTGTTTGAGATTATAGAATATAAACATTGCTCCCGAATTTAACAGGTTAAATGGTGTAGGTGTTTATGATAGAAGAACTGCTTAACATCTTCGAATAAATTTTATTTCATCAAGTTTTCCAGCGGTTATACAATTACCATTTATTTTTTACAGTGATATAGAACAACAACGTGCCCGTGCGTGTCCATTTCAGAAAATTGATTTATTTTGTTTATTAATCTCGTGAGGTAAGAGTGAAATTGTAACGGCAAATTCAAAATGACACTAGTGACAGAAAAGTAGTGGTGAGTGGTGTGTAGTTCGCGAACGTACTAGTTCAGTCCAACAATTGTTATGAACTAAGTGAACTAGTTCATCATTCCACGAAAATCTCTATTCACTTCGAACGACTGATGACGTGACTTGATGATGCCGCAGGGGTATTATAGAAAAAAACTTGAAAAACGACAAAATGTCATCTTGCAGATTAGGTAGTTTTTAGTGAAATAGTTCGTTCCACGTGTGCTCGGTATAGTCTCTGTAGGCGTCATCAAAACCGTTCATCTATGGAAGAATGATTCAACGACATGCCACGCTCATACATGCATTACTGGTTGCAGAAAACCAAGTAGTGTTCATGAGGTACATAGAACAGGAGGAGGAGGAAGCGATCAGCATCGACCAGGAGCTGTTCAACGATTACAGATTCTCTGTGGATCAGCTCATTGAACTGGCCGGGCTTAGCTGTGCTACAGCCATTGCAAAGACATACTCAATGGAGAAAGTTGGAAACAAATCTATATTAGGTATACCTTCAATGCTATTTTGGTAATTTTCTAGCTTAGCTACACCAGCCTTTTTTATTTCTTCATCTGAATAGAATAGGCACTAGGTTTGGTTTGGAAAATATGGGTTAGCTGCAAAATAATAACGGTAATTCTCTAGCAACTAGCTACAACCATTTTTGATAACAAAATAATTTTGGAGCCATTTCTCTCATCTACACACCCAAAAACAGTTGCAGCTTACCATTATTTTTTATTAGAAGATACATTTTTATATTTAGGTTCTAATACAAAAATGATATACATTGAAATCTCCTTTGTACAGACACCAAATACAACAAAAATTGTGTTCTAATGAAAACTGAAATTAAGAAACTGGGACATTCAAAACGTAGATGTATATAAATGCCTTTAAAATAAACAAAAAATTTTAAACATCAGAAAAAAATGGTTTGACACCTTTAGATATATACAAAGTATGTACAGTAATGGACAAAAGTATAAAGACAAATATGAATATTTACCTAAATACCTTTAGAAAACGAATACATGCTTCATTGCGTTATTAGTAGAAAAACTGAATTCCTTGTTTTTACATTATCTGCAATGAACACAATACAAATCTGAATATAAGCACTTTTTTATGAGCTACAAAAATATGTAGACAAATTCTTTTCAACATTAGTTTCGTACAGTTTCATGTCACAAGAGGATTAGTTTGTGTTCACCAAGTATTCTGGAATAAGTTGAGTGATTTTAAGACCATGTCGCGTGGTCCAGAAATTTCTTTCGATGTGAAAACTAAAATCATTGAGTTATACAAAGATGGTCAATGTCAAGTCGACATTGCCAAAAATTTGAAGCTGAAGCGTAAGCAGTTTGGGCAATATTGAACAAATAGGTATCTTGGAAGCCTCTAAGAGAAGTGGTCGGCCTAGAAAACTAAATGCTAGATCAGTTAGATTAAAAGTAATTTTGTCCTAAGATCCGTTTAAAACCCCAAGACAAATAAAAGCCGAAATCGAGGCAAAAGGAATTGGCAGTGTTTCTACAAAATCTATGAGTAGATGATTAAATGATTTGAAGTTATTTGCACGTCGCCCGAGTAAGAAGCCGCTAATCTCGAGGAAAAACCGTAAGGACCGATTACAATTTGCATGGTTGCATCTTGATTGGAGCATCTGTGACTGGAAGAGGGTATGTTTCAGTGACAAATCCAAGTTCAATATGTTTGGATCAGATGGTGTACATTATGTTAGACGTCATAGTGGACAAGGATTGAACCCCAAGTGCACTTTGCCCACTGTCAAACATTGAGGCGGGTCTGTTATGGTTTGGGGGTGCTTTTCAGGGTTTGGGATGCGACCTTCACATAGAATAGATCCCATTATGGAAAAGTTTGTATACACAGACATACGAAAGCATGTCATGTTACCCTATATGGAAGACAATATGCCCTTAAGATCAATCTTCCAGCAAGATAATGACCCGATCACACTTCAAATCTCTCAAAGAAATTCTTTCTGGATGAAAAAATACCAGTTCTCAAATGGCCTTCACAGTCTGCCGATATAAACCCCATTGAAAATCTATGGGAATACTTAGATATGCAAATACGAGATAAAAATTATTCAAACAAAGATGAACTTTTTGCCGCTTTAGAGCAAAAGTGGAGACAGAATGATGATTCTTCTACATTCTATGCTGAGTCGATGCCAGGCGGTGATTGATAATAATGGTTATGCTACAAAATATTAACACAAACATGGTTGGTTTTCTATAATTCAATGAACTTTGCTTCTTTTTTTTTATAATTGTTTTGCCTTATCTATATATTTTTGTCCTTCATAGTTCCAGTTTTTTTCAATTAATTTTTTATTGAAGGAAGTCTAATGAACGTATTTATGTATAAGTGAGTATTATGCTATAACGAATTATATATACAGGTTGGTTTATTAATAAAACAAGTTAAATAAGAAATACAGCACAATTTTAATTTGTCTATATACTTTTGTCCATTACTGTATGTGTATTCAAAACCTTCAAGGTTGTTTTATATGCACAATGTGTGCATTCATGAATTCTAGAAGAAATGGACGCAATAAACTCAGGATGTTCCTTGATTATATGATTATTTAGTCTATGTTTAAATTTAAATTTCGTATTACAGTGAATACATATGCTGAATTTACATACAGACTCCGGATGTTTCAATGTGTGGCTTGGCGAATGATTCTTCATAGTCGTTTTATATTCACAATATTCACATTAAAAAATTCTAGAAGTAACAGATGCAATACAGTCAGGATGTTCCTTGATTATATGATTATCTAGCACCATTTTAGTTTTAAATTTCGCATTGCAGTGAATACATATGATTAATTTATAGTTACCTACTGACTCTGAATGTTTAAATAACATATGTCTAGCTAAACGAGACTTGATGGTTGTTGTGTAAGCGCAACGTGTGCAATGATGTAATTTACAAGACAAGGACGAAATAAAATCAGGGTGTTCCCTAATTATATGATCGTACAGTGTACATTTCCTTTTGAATTTCGCATTACAGTGAGTACATATGAATATGCCGAATTTATAGTTACTTGCTCTTGGCTGTCTTAGAATGTTTCAGCATATGTCTCCTATAATTACCGTTATTGGTTGATTTATACGCGCAATGCGAACATTTATGAGTTTTACTAGAAACGGACTCGACAAGATCAGAATGTTGTTTAATGAATTGATCATCTAGACTCCTTTTGGATCTGAACTTTGCATTACAGTGTATACACGTGTTATGTTTATAGCTAAGACCGTGTTCATTTAAATTTCTATGTTCTTTCATATGCCTAACCAGAATATACTTATATCTAGCAGAATAATCACAAATATGACAATAAACTAAATTTCTGCTCAATTTTTTACAGGCTACAGGCCGCTGTTTCTACACACTGTAACAAAAGAAACTATCATTATTTCAGACAATAATATTCAAGTTTTATGGAGTGACGGCGCTGGACCTAGAACTACGAGGGTGGTCCCAGAAGTACCCGGCCTGACCTAGAGATGGTGATAGTTGTTTGAAAAATATCATTGTCTTAGAAAGAAAGCATAGGCGTCAAGTTTGAAGACGCCACGTTGTTTAGTATTTGTTCTAATTATAAACAATAAATATTATAAAAAGGGTATCGAACTTATTGAACATCGCTGGGAAAATTCTATAGAGCTCAACGGAGATTGTGTTGAAAAATAAATACATTTTTTTACAAAATTTTTGTGTTTTCTTCGTCGGGTCGGGTACTTCTGGGACCACCCTCGTACACTCTATTTTCCAGTCGGAAATCTTTGCGATTCTGGCTTGTGTATCTCGCATTCTGGAGGAGGCCGGGCTTAGGAGAAGAATAACAATCTTATCCGACAGCCAGGCTGCTATGAAGGCACTAAGTGCCTTGTATTGCAATGCAGGGAGGCTCTGGATCGTCTCGCAGCGAGGCATCCGGTATCGTTAATGTGGGTACCGGGGCACGCTGGGATAAGGGGCAATGAGACGGCGGACAATCTGGCGAAGACAGAATCAGACAGCAAGCTCGTTATTCCTGAGCCAGCTTTAGGAGTGCCCGCGCAAAGAGTTAGAAGGAAAATGGAGACGTGGATTGCAAGACAACACTCTCAGAAATGGAGACGTATCTCCAGACATCTCCGTTAGGCACGGGAACTCAGTGTAGGGCTCCGTATGGTGGCCAGAATGCCTCTAATTTCACGATTCACTCATTCATTTATGGAGTTGAAATTAGAAATATTAACAGAAATAATGTTGTGGAAACAAAAAAAAATTGGTCATACCAAAACAAAAACAGTTTTCTTATGTAACATGGCTTTCCACTAAATTGGTTGAAATTTTGTAGTGGTGATTTTCAACATGGCGAACAAAAGTTCCAATGAGATTCTCAGTAATCCCTGCCAACTTATTTATCTGAGTCTATACTTTTTTGAGAAAAAGCAGTGTTACTGTTACAGTAAGCGCAGATCGGTATTGTGTGATGCTAGAGACCTTTCTGCTTTCTGTGGCCCAGAGTGGCTGCTCTTGTCGATGAGCATGGACCAGAACATGTACGGTTCCAACAAGTCCATACAGCACGTCATTCAATGACACTTTTACGAGAAACGTTTCCTGGACACGCTGTTTCTTTGCGCGGCGACATCGGGTGACCTCCGTACTCACCGGATTTGACCCCATGTGATTTTTTTCTTTGGGGCTGCGTGAAGGCAGAAGTGTACCGACATCGCCCCAAAGTCTAGAAAATTGTAGTTTATAAGTTTATATCCAAACGTTTTCTCTGTTAGCACAATGAAATAAAGATCATCATCGCTCGGGTTACCTATCCTATTTTCTGCTGGAATCCACTTTCCTTCTTTTTGCGGATTTTGTCCCTTATTTTCCTATTTTATATATATATATATATATATATATATATATAAAGTGACATATAAATCCGAACACCCAGTTTAAATGGTTTTATTTTAATAAAATTTTGTATAAGTACTTAATGAAGCATAAGTAAATAATAAAAATTTCAAAATGATTGCACTGCTTTAAAGCCCTTTGACCTTTAATAATGTGTGGATGCACCCTGATGTGCTACGCATTCTCCAACGCGCCTAGGCATGCTTCTAATCAGGTGGTCAATGTCTTCCTGTGGTATCTCATTCCAGGCAACCACCAACTCCTCTCGAAGTGCTTCTAGAGTCTGAGGAGGACGTTGCAAATTGAGCAATCTCCTACCCATCATATCCCACACGTGCTCAATTGGGGATAAGTCGGGAGATCTTTGTGGCCATGGTAACAATGTGATATGTTGAAAGAAGTCTATTGTGAATCTTGCAACATGTGGTCGGGCATTATCTTGTTGGAAAGTTGGATCTGCCAGGGTGTCAAGATAGGGTAAAAGATGGGGTTCTAGAACTTCGTGGATATAACGCTGCGCGTTCATGTTACCTCTGATGAAGATTAAAGGTGACCT